CTTGGGTGAAAAGCAATGACAAACCTAGACAGCAGCTTAAAAAGCAGAGACATCACCTTGCCAACAAAGGTCCGTATAGTTAAAGCGATGGTTTTCCCAGTAGTGATGTCTGGAAGTGAGAGCTGGACCATAAAGAAGGTGGATCGCCAAAGAATTGATGCTTTTGAGTTATGGTGCTGGAGGAGACTCTTGAGAGTCCCATGGACTGCAAGAAGATCAAACCTCTCCATTCTTAAGGAAATCAGCCCTGAGTGCTCACTGGAAGGACAGATCCTGAAGCTGAGGCTCCAAGACTTTGGCCACCTCATGAGAAGAGAAGAGTCCCTGGAAAAGACCCTGATGTTGGGAAAGATGGAGGGCACAAGGAGAAGGGAATGACAGAGGACGAGATGGTTGGACAGTGTTCTCGAAGCTACCAGCATGAGTTTGACCAAACTGCGGGAGGCAGTGGAAGACAGAAGTGCCTGGTGTGCTCTGGTCCATGAGGTCACAAAGAGTCGGACACGACTAAACAACAACAAGTGGTTAGAGCGTTGGACTAGTTCCTGGGAGATCAGGGTTTAAATCCTCACCCTCAGGCACGATGTTCTCTGGATAACCCTGGACCACCTATTGGCCTTTCGCCCCACCTACCTCTCAGGGTTGTTGCTGTGAGGATAAAATGGGGAACGGGAGAACAACGCGCCCCTTGGAGGAATGTAGAAATGTGAGTTAAATTTGGAATACCAATAGTACTGTAATAGTGGCCCTGGACAGCTCAGTTGGTGATAATAAGACAGTACCAAGGTCGCAGGTTCAATTCCCATATGGGACAACTGCATTTTCCTGCATTGCCGGGGGTTGGTCTGGATGATCCTCAGGGTCCCTTCCAACGCTGCGATTCTGTGATTCAGTTGTCGCGACTGTACAACCCACCTCTGACTAGCAAGAAGCTCCCGGTCTCCTAAAAGGATTCACACACCGAAAAACAAAAAAAGTGAAAGCAGCGGTGCGATAGAAAATAACAATATGGAACAAGAAGAAGTTTGCGTTTTAAAAAGGCAACAGCAACGCTGCAATGCCAGCTTACAAGAAAACCCCCCAAAACGCCTCGGTTTACAAAAATTAGCAGGCAAGCAAACTTAGTCGCTGCCTCCAGGCAAGTGGGGGAATAAATCTCCGTCCATTTCAGCCTTCAACTGCGGAGAGAGTGTCCTTCTCTTGAGTCGATTTTTAAAAAAAATGTACACACATTTGAAGGCAAGTTTACAAGCCAGAGGGTCTGGTCAATCCAACAGGGAGCTTCCCCTGATGATTTATGCCTCAGGAGAGGTTGGTGGGGTGGGAAGGATCGTTTCAACCCGTTTATTTTGTTTCGCTTTTGTGCCACAGGAGGAAGGCGGTGGTCTCTCCCTTCTGTTTCTTATCCCGCTCATACTTTCTCGGGCTGTTTCTGGATCCTGGGAGAATCTGGCTTTGCAAGAGCTGAGCTGCAACCCGAACGCCAGGGTCTGTTGCAGACTCGGAGGAGCGCAAAGGGCGCTTGTAGGTGAAAGAGCGAAGCCGCTGACATTCGTTTCTGATCAAGAGTTGACCCAATGCCGCCTTCCCCGTCTCTTTTGCAAGGATCTACGCTCGAGAGCGATCTATTTAAGTGCACTTACAATAAACAGAACTCTCTGTGTGGAGGCTGGAATCGAGCCGGCTGAGCACGTTTTCTTGGAAGTAAATCTAATTTCAGACTTCCAAGGAAGCATGTTAAGGGCTGGGTCTCAGTCCAAGTACGGCTGCAATCCTACGCATGTTTACTTCGGAGTAAACACCATGTAACGCAGGAAGCGGTTCTCCTACTGACTCAGATTATCTAAGGCACACCATACTTTTAAAGCACATCCAATTCACTTTTAAAGGACATGGCTCCCCACAAAAAAGAAAAGTAAAAAGAATTATGGGAACTATAGTTTGATATGGGTGCTGGGAATTGTAACTCCATAAGGGGGAAACTACATTTCCCAGGATTCTTTGGGGGAAGTGTTGTGCTTTAAATGCGTGTTAGACACACTATTTAAATGCATGGTGTGGATATTGTGCACACGCAACCTGGCAGGGCTTCAGATTGGATGCTTTTGGCACGCAAGGCCTGCGCTTTCCCACTAAGCCAACAGGACTTCCTTCTGAGTAAGATTTGGGCTGTTTCAGTAATAATTCCTGCCCCAACTGTTAGCGGACAGAGAACAGAGAAGTTAAAGTTGTGATCAGTGGCATAATTTTGGGGGCAGTGGCAGAGGGGCTGTTTCCCCGGGTGCAATTTTCTAGGGGGAGGGTGCTTTTTTTGGGGGGGTGCAAAATTTCAAAAGAAAATGGTGTTTTTGAGGGTGTTTTTTAATTTAAAAAAATCGAGGTGTAAAAATTTCATGAAATCAATAATCAATCAATCAATCAATCAATCAACAGTTGCTGCTGCTGTCTCCTCCCCAGCTTCCCTCTCCCTGCTGGGTAAACCCTTCCCCACCACAATTGCCACTGCCACCCAACCCTGACAGGAACCACGGGGTACGGGGCACTTGCCTTGGCCCGGGCACTGGCAACTCATGCTATGTATCATTGGTTGTGATGGTGCAGGATGTGGGATGTATCATCATTGAAGCAGTCAAATACAACATTTCCTGTTGCCTAGAGTGGACACACAGGGGAATGTGGCTCCAGACAGGGAGGACTTCCTGTCATACCTGCTCTGGAGCCTCTTCCCCTTGTGTGTGACCAGGTAGATGGGTGTGACCCTAGCAGACCCTACAAAAAGGGCTAGCCACAAAACCATCTTCCCCTCTTTCCCCATTTTCTCCTTTCGGACTCATCTTCTGGCTCTTAGCCGGCACATGGCTCATCCTTTCAGAGGATGGAAGCCACAAGGTAGAAAGTTTGAGGCCTAGCTCAGACTTCTCTTCTCTACAAATGTAACTGTGACCACAAGATAAAACCTGCCTTCAGAATACGACTGTGAACTGAATGTAAGTAAACTTTACTCATACTTCTAAACAAGACTGTCGTGTTATTATTATTTTAAGAGGGAAATAAAGGGGAAAGTTACCAGGAACAATCCAGACTGGACAAGCCAGACTGGACTGCTTAACTTAAATGATTCTAACAAATCATCAATTTGCTTCCAGCAACCTGCAAGAGAACGTGCTCTGCTGTTTGCTCACTAGCCTGAGTGAGGAGGGATAATACTCAGTCAATATATCCTCTCCTACTTTCTTCAACATTCCCACACAGGTGAGGAGAACCGAGACAGTATGGCTCTAAATATAAGTTGCTAGAAATCCCAGGGGGTCTGCATGCTATTGTACTCAGGTTCCGCTTGTAGGATAAAGGTAAAGGGACCCCTGACCATTAGGTCCAGTCGTGGCTGACTCTGGGGTTGTGGCGCTCATCTCTTTATTGGCCGAGGGAACCGGCGTACAGCTTCCGGGTGATGTGGCCAGCATGACTAAGCCGCTTCTGGTGAACCAGAGCAGCGCACGGAAACACCATTTACCTTCCCCCCGGAGCGGTACCTGTTTATCTACTTGCACTTTGACGTGCTTTGGAACTGCTAGGTTGGCAGGAGCAGGGACCGAGCAACGGGAGATCACCCCGTCGCGGGGATTCGAACCGCTGACCTTCTGATCGGCAAGTCCTAGGCTCTGTGGTTTAACCCTCAGCGCCACCCGCATCCCGCTTGTAGGATACCCATAGGCATTTATTTGGTTGGGCACTGTTAGAATAGGATGCTGGCTCTGATGAGTTTTTGGCCTGGCTCTTCTTGTGTTCTTATGAAAACCTTCCCTTCCCTGCCCCCTTCCACTTACTTTCAAAGCAACAACTTTTCTTAAGTTGTGTTCATCTAGTTTACAGACCTTGAATTATCATCCTAATGTAGAGTGACAGAAGAAGACAACATACACAAACACATTTTTAGCAAAACCATAACAAAAGTGGTCAATGCAATCTCGAGAAATTACATATAAGAGTTCCATTGTGTGCAATAAAGAAAACAGATGAGGAATGCCATCCATCCATCCATCCTCCAGCAAATTTGATTTTGCCTAGAATGATTGATGCTGAGGAGGCGGAGCCTATCTAGTCTGTTTTGATTCACAACAAGTAATCAAAGGATGCCAAATAGAATGAAAAGGCGTCTTGTCTATCCAGTTTCTCTGTCAAACAAATCATGTGCAAGAGCTTTCACATCAATATCCGTTTTGATACAAGAAGCGACTGATGCAGGAGAGGGGCAGTGACAGATTCGGCAAGGACAGAAGAAGCACTCAAAATGGAGGCATGCTGTCATTGAGTCTGGCGGCTTGCCTTTGCTGGGGTCCTTTTCTGTAGCTGTGAATTGATTCTCTTCTTATTCCCCCCATCCACTGCAATACTAGTGGAGTCTGATAGGCTGTGCTCCTTATCATGATGTCAAGATATTGGATGGAGTTTTGAGTGATCTGTGTGGGCATCTGATTCACATGCACAGCATTATTAACACACACACCCCGTCCATAAAAATGAAAATAAATGAAATATTTAATGCATTACATTAAGTGATCTCAGCCAGAGTATGCAAACAATTTGAATTTGCAGAAGGAGGAAGTATTTTAAAAAGTGATTCTGAAGGAAATACTGGCATGTGCTCAATCATAGCAGCAGTGTAGCAAACACCAAACACCAAACACCAAGCATCTACGTGATTAAATTAATTTCTAACTTGATGGGCCAAGGCTCTGACTCAGTATAAAGCACCTTCATATATTCTTTCCCTATTTTCTGTGGTCAGTTCAGCTTGCTTGCATGGAGCATAAGGCTACCAATGACTAGTTATAGACCTAAAGTGGATCTAAACACAGGAAAAAATGTCAGAAATTATAACAAAAGGGGGAAAAATCCCTATGGGAAATTGTGTTTTAAAATCTCCTGCTCTCTGGCAGCACCTGGTGTTGCATGTTTATAGTGCATTCAATTTGCTGTTTCTTCACTAATGTAGCTGAATCCCTACTGTGGTGCAATAGGTCAATGCATCTGGCTATTAACCAGAAGGTTGGTGGTTCGAGCCCAACCAGGGATGGCTGTGGGCAAGATTTCTGTATTGCAGGGAGTTGGACTAAACAATTCTGGATTAATTTCATCTACATTAGACAGACATCTTTTTTACCCCCTTACCCCATGGAACGAATTCAGTGGAACTTGCTTCTGGATGTGCGTATATAACATTGTATTGTTAGTTCATTTTCGCACGGACAGGCATATGGGATTTGCACACACACACACGAGCAACAATGATGTGTCACTGGGCTGTTGTGAGGATAAAATGGGAGGGGGAGAATCAGGTACTCTACCTTGAGCTTTTTGGAGGAAAGGAGTGATATAAATGCAATACATAAATAACAAATGAATAGGTCACATTCCACCTCAAAAACATAATCAGGTAATTTGGGATGAAGAAGTCTTGGGAGTAAATTGGATAAACAGAAGTTTGGAAGCATCCCTAAATTTAGGACTAAACCTCTACCACATTTTCTCTGAAAAGTGTCTTAATGATTTTGAGTCAGTAAGTGGGACCTCAGAATCTTTTTTTTAAAAAAATATATATATAAAGACTATAATATCTCAGCAGAATTATTCTGTTTAAAAGTCTGAGACTTTATTTCAGCAACAATTTCCTTGTCTACAGCTTTACAAGGCTGTAAATATCCCATGGACATAATGAAATCTGACATCATATGGCAAAGTACTTACACTTGCCAGATCATTTATGAGCAAATGTACCTCGGGGCAAAACGCCTCCTCCCTTTCCCGTGCCCAAATTTCTCTTATAAATAATATAAGAAAAAATCGCTTTGCAAGGTCCCTTTTCTGAACTTCCTGGTCTGCCTTTTAAACATGCAGGCTGTGAGACAGGTAGATGATACTGGAAAAGTATTGGGGTGCATTAAAAACCCTGCTACTGGGATTACAATCCCTTGCACATTTACTTGGGAGTAAAGTGGGCTGGGTTTAGCAAATATGAGCAGATCCAAGTGTTTCGGATGAAAGAACTTGCTGAACCAATATGTAGGAATAAGGGAGAGGGGGCAGGAGACAAACATAATATTTGTCTAAGATGTTGTTGATGTTTAGTCGTTTAGTTGTGTTCGACTCTTCATGATCCCATGGACCAGAGCACGCCAGGCACTTCTGTCTTCCACTGCCTCCCGCAGTTTGGTCAAACTCATGCTGGTAGCTTCGAGAACACTGTCCAACCATCTCGTCCTCTGTTGTCCCCTTCTTCTTGTGCCCTCCATCTTTCCCAACATCAGGGTCTTTTCCAGGGAGTCTTCTCTTCTCATGAGGTGGCCAAAGTATTGGAGCCTCAGCTTCACGATCTGTCCTTCCAGTGAGCACTCAGGGCTGATTTCCTTAAGAATGGATATGTTTGATCTTCTTGCAGTCCATGGGACTCTCAAGAGTCTCCTCCAGCATCAGAATTCAAAAGCATCAATTCTTCGGCAATCAGCCTTCTTTATGGTCCAGCTCTCACTTCCATACATCACTACTGGGAAAACCATAGCTTTAACTATACGGACCTTTGTCAGCAAGGTGATGTCTCTTGTCTAAGATACTAATGCTCTTTTGTGGGAAGCTATCATTATCCCTTCCTTGCCCCCTTGGACTGTGTGTTCAGAGCATGTGTTTAAGGTGCTGCAAATGGGTATGTAGCCTGACTCTACCTACCTACCAGACAAAGAATTTAATCTGTATGCTGCAGAAAAAGAGCTTACAGGATTTTTGAAAAAGGAGATCTCAGAAGCTACCTGTCTGGCAAAGTTCCTTATGGAACGTGAAGATATTTGCAGCCATTTTCTCAGCAGAAGTAAGTCCCTCTGAGTTCAATGGAACTTGTTCCCAAGTACAGTGGTACCTCGGGTTAAGTACTTAATTCGTTCTGGAGGTCCGTACTGAACCTGAAACTGTTCTTAACCTGAAGCACCACTTTAGCTAACGGGGCCTCCCACTGCCACCGTGCTGCCGGAGCACGATTTCTGTTCTCATCCTGAAGCAAAGTTCTTAACCTGAAGCACTATTTCTGGGTTAGCGGAGTCTGTAACCTGAAGCGTATGCAACCTGAGGTACCACTGTAAATGTGCTGATGAACTAGAAAAAATGACTGACAAAACCAATGGGCTGAGGGGGGGGGGGGATAATTTTCATGTTGCGTTTAGGTTGATTTAGCATATGAAAGAATAAGAATGGCATACACTCATCATCCACGGTGCTTGTACAAGAGCCCTACTCTCAGCTTGACTCTTTCTTGGAAACCAGCAAGCCCAGAAGAATGATTTATGCAGGGTTTTAGTGGACTGCAGTGGTGCTGTGTCAAGTTATGAAGTGCAGGCTCTCTTCATGACAACCCTTGTGGTGACTCACACCCATTCTAAGACTATCCAGCAGTACAAAGACCAATGTAGATATTATAGCTTCAGTATGAAGCCAGCTTTTTTCTTAAAAGGTGGACTCGAAACCTTTTGTGACATCCTGGTTCATCAAAACAAAGAGACCCCGGGACTTAAAACCTTAGCCACGCACGCTGATGCAACTTGCCTCTTCCCCTGCTTAGTTTATGTGGTAGGTTTCTCTCTGAAATAAGCTTATTTAATTGGCATGCAGAAGATTGGCAAATCGTGCCCCTGGATATGACATCATCTGGGCTGTGAAATAAAGGGGTTCCTGCTTTTGTTCCTGTCTGCCCTTGCTCCACTGATGGCAAGTCTTCTCTCTGGCAGTGACTGAATTACCTAAGGGAATGCACAGAATTACCCAAACTCAGAAGAGACTGGTTGGAAGTAGGCAAGGCTAGGCCAGTGAATCAAGGCTAAACCACATGTGACTTTAGCTGTGTAGTTGTGCCTTCAACAGTAGGGATTTTTTTCTGCACATTTTTTGTGGGGGACAGTTTTGGGCCTGATGGAGCCACACCTTCATGTTGTGCAGAGGGGAATTTTAATCTGGAATTTAATTCAGGTTTTGATCTGGAATGGGGGTCCGACACTTGCACATTGCATTTTTTAAAACAACAACAACCTCCCATTGAAGCAGTTTCCACTTCAGATATGGGACTTCTCCCTCGGCTCTGCTGAAAGACCAGCAACATTTGGCTCCTCCTCTCCTTGAAATCTTTCAATTCCAACTGCTCAATACAATAACTGTGAAATTAAGAAATGGTGCTCAAGTGTGCCGTTTTCTTCCTCCCTTCTCAATCCACTTTCCTTTTGTGCTGTGTCTTTTAGATCGTAAGCCAGGGGGCTAATTTGTGAGCTGATCTGGGAGTCTTTGTTGACCCAAGAGCAGACAGAAAAAGCTTTAAATAAATACATACATAGTTTTTTTTGCCTCCGGCTCTCTATTCTCATAAGGGGAAACAGGCTGTGGGAGTTGCTGAAATGAAGTGCTTGTACTTCAAATCTGAACTTTGTATAATCAAGTTTACTTTTTGCAGCCTCATCAACAGAAGAGCAGCAGTGAAGGGAGTTTGGGTTGGCCTAGTTTTCTAGCTGGTTTTTGTTTTCTCTATGCCCCCCCCCCGGCATTGTTAAGTTTCATTGTTATTGAACGGGTTATCTAGAGGTCAGTGGGCCAGAAGGTTGTTTGGATTTCCTAAAATTGTGCCTCCCTCTAAACCTGGCTAAAAATATTGTTTTCAGAGTCTCCTGTGACCCTTCTGGGCTGGAAACTAAAAGGAGACACAATGTGGCTGCTATTTCTGTTTGTCACCCTTTGCCCCAGGCCCACAAGGGTGGCCAAGACAGCATGTGTCTGGTTTACAATATTCTCTGTAAATCCAAAGTGGCGCAGGGAGAGGAGCTGGAGACTGGGAACTTGAGGCTGGGCTGAATGCCACAAACTAGGGATGGAGAAGTTCTGCTGGCAAGAGTCAGAGATGGCACCAAGGAAAGGCACTGTTGGGTACCTGTCAAGGCCCACATTTCAATAAGGAGTCCATTGCCACTCTCTGGAACTGCTTGCCAGAGATCTGCCTCTTCCTTTTTGCTGCTGCTCCCTTCTCTGAGCACGCAAGCTGCAAAGAAGGGAAGGAGGCGCAGCAGAATTTCCCCCTCCTCTCTTGTGCTCCTGCTCTGGATAGTTGCATGGACTAGACCCAGATGGAGAGAGTAAATGGGTGAGCAAAAGGACCTTGGAGAGGAGGAGGAAGAGAGGTGCTGACCAGAGAGTGCCCTACTCAAGATGACCCACAAAACCGGGAGCTGATAACGTCCACAGTCAAGCCCCCAAGCCATTCTGGAGAAATGCCCTCTGTTGGCCTGGTTCCTGGTGGTACAAGAATATGGCAGGACCTGGGTACCAGATGTGGCCAGAGTCTTAAATCAGCTGCTCATGTCCTGGCCTGAGAAGTTGAGAATATTGTCCATGCTGTACCAAAACTGAAGAGCAGCACCAGGCAAGTCTTTAGCATATGCACCGCTGGGGTGCAAAGATCCGCCCAGCGCCCCCAAATTTAGTTGTGAGCGTGTCATTGAGTCTGACAAGCGCCGCCATTGTGAATGACAAGCGCCGCCACTGGCGCGTCGCGTCTTTGGCAATGAATGCACAAAGTCGAAAGTCCTTTTGTGAAACAGTAGGTATACATTTCAGTAATACCTAGGTATATATGTATTTTGTTTTTCTAGCTTGATCAAAATTATTTATTATTTCATAACAGGTAGATAGTTAAGAGCTTAGGCGGTTTCAGCGGCGGGCGCCTGGTGCTCCCCAGAATTTGGCGCCTAGGTGCCCCGCACCCCTTGCACTCCCGGGTAAAGACGGCCCTGAGCAGCACCCACTGTGCGTGTCCTGAAATCAGAGGCTCCCTCGCACAATTGGCAAGGAGCCACATTAGTGCCTCTGAAGCCAGGAAAGGCCATCTGTCAGAAACTCAAAAACTTTGCTTCTCATCGCTTTTCACTGGGGAGGGGGCCCTCCAAGGCATCCAGAGGAGCCTGTGCACCTCGCCCGGCTGCCTAGAGCAGCAGAGGAGCAGCCAGGGAAGTGCAGGCTCCTAGCCACTCCAAGGCAGGATGGACAGTTCCCTCT